TACCATTGTTATGATTAAAAATGGGATGAAATTGCAAAGAGCCCATTTTAGTATTGATGGCAAGAAAACCTTCTGAAAAATTTGAGCTGTCCTAAAATTGAACCTGCCTCCAGAGCTGTTTTGTTCTCTCCTCAGAGGTCTTCAAGCAGGTATGTTATAAACAGGGATTCCTTTTGTGTATGGACTGGACCAGATGGGCTCTGAGAAATCCCTTTTAACTCTCAAATTCTGGGATTCTGTGAAAAATATGGCATGACTACAAAATAATGACATAGTTATTTATCTGGCTCACAAATTGGTTCTTTAAGCATTTCTAACAAGGGAGTGCCCTCCAAAAATTGTTTTTAGTAAAGGCAACATCATTAAAATAAGTGTAAAACCTCCCAAGGTGGCTACTTTGAGGCATTGTAATGGGTTCTCTCTTGTTCCCTAGGAGATACTCCCTGGATAAATGGACAGGAAAGGGGAGAATCTGATCACATCTCTCCCAGCTCAGGTAAGCCTCAGAGCCCCCCCAATATTGGGAACAATACTGATTTAGAAGCAAAAGTCCTGGTACATTTGTTTAAAGTGTCACCAAAGGGTTAAATCAGCTATATGAGCTGTGGGAGCAGAGAAGTGGGGGCAAAAACTGGCTATGGTCCAAATATCGTCTTCACTGAATGAGTAAAAGACCCTCACCTTTGGCCTTGAAATACCCTTATGTGAAGTGGATTGGAGGAAAGAATGGGCCCTCTGCCAGAGCTTTTCCCCTGAAGAAATATTTCTGACTGAAACTAACCCCAACCTTATAGGAGTTGCTTATTAGGGAAGGTGAGAGACAAAGAAGGGGAGGGAACTTAAGTGCTACCCTCTCTGACCTCTATTCTCCACATAGCTTAAGCGCAGCTGGTAAAGGCTGATGGTTTAGGGGAGCTTCCAAAGACAGCATATGTTAATGTATTAGAATTTATGTTCATGATCCCTCTGAGGGAGCAAGAAGAGTAACACAGAAGGTTTTCCTTGGGGGTAATGCTCTTACATGAATAAACAGCTTTTAGAACTGGTCTCATCCAGTCTGATTACCTTTGCAATATAAAACTGTAACCAAAACTGATGGAGAGAGATAGGTGTGTATATGCATATGCACATATGTAAATATGTGTGTATGTGTGCATATAAAATATAAATTATGTATTGTGCAAATGTATTCACAGATATGTGTACATTTATAAAATGTGATTGTATGTGTACAGAATGTGTGTGCGTCATACATGTATAAAATGTGCACACACACATGCACATATATGTTGCATGTATGTGTGTATATACGTGTGTTACATACGTAAACAGGTATGTGCATACATTTATATAGTTTTGCTTTTATATATACATATATTTATGTAATTTATATATATACATACATACATATATGTTGTTTAGCAAAGTGTGTGTGTGTGTGTGTGTGTGTGTGTGTGTGTGTGTATGTGTGTGGAGTAGGGGAACCATTAGTAGATCAGGAGAAATTCAGGGCATGGGCCAGTGTGTACATATTTCAGATCTGCCAGTGTGTGATGGGTCAGGGAAAAGGGAAGGGGGTGAATGGGAGAAAAGGGAGAGGGGAAGTAGGGAGGAGAGAAGGGGAGAGGGGATGTTATATACACATACACACTTGCTTAGCTAAACAATATTTCTAGACAAAGACAAGTCTCTTGAGCACCCTATGTCAACCTAATAATAAGTCATAGGTATAAGACAACATAAATAATATAAATCCTATAACAACCAAATCTCCAGGATAGTCCTGAGTCTCTCCTTCCTCTCCTGGGTGGCAGATTGTTTCTGGGAAGAACCACCTTTTCTCTACCATCTTATTCCCCACTCCAATAAGATGTTTTTAATTTTCTCCACCGTCAAGCCTGAGGCCAAATGAACTTGAGGATTGGTTCCAGGACCCACAACCTCATATAAAAATTCTTGGCCTAAAGCAACCCTCACCCTCAGTTATAATGAGCTTCTCTCTTCCCTCTTCCCTCTCTCATATCTCGTTTCCCTCTCTCTTCTCTCCCATGCTCCCCCTTCCCCATACCCATCATCCAATGACAGATCTGAAATATGGAAACACTGGCCTGTGCCCTGAATTTCCTCTGCTCTAATCAAAGAAGGGGAAAGAACTCAAAGGGGCATATCCCCTCCTTAAATTCAAGAAGGCTTTAACAGCAAAATCGCCTTCACTCATAAAAATACCAAGGGCTATCTTCTAGGCCATGAGTAATTCATTCATTTGGCCATTTTTTCATTTTCTAAGATAAAGAAAAAAATTAAGGTAGCTACATCAGGCTCACTGGGGAGAGGAAAAAAGTGGATTAACTAGATAAGCAATCCTATTTCATGCCTTTTAGGTGCTGCTGATATTATTTAGAAAAAGAACCAGGTTTCAGGTCTTTAAAACCGAGCGAGGCAGCTGCATTCCATACTAAATTACATCAAAGAAGTTTTGGGGCTGAGTCACTGTGCACGAGCATGCACTGCTCTCTTCCTCATCCCGCCACTGCCCACATCTGAAGCTGAAGTCGCCGGGCTCAGCTAGGAAGTGCTGGGAGAAACTTCGACTATTAACAATTGTTTTTTTCTTTTTCAAAAGTCAGTAGGAAGGTGCCCCCTTAACCCCATTCCTTCTGGGGAGAATTTCCCACCTTTCTGTCTTTAATTGTCTCCTCCCTTCTAGAAATATTCTAAACCTGCAAACCTCTGAAATGATACTGCTTACCCATACCCTCCAAAGAAAAAACAGGAAAAGGAACTGGCTTAAATGACAGCAAGAAAGATTTGGTCCAGGGTGGGGAACCTGTGGCCTCAAGATCACATGTGGCCCTCTAGGTCCTCAAGTGCAGCCCTTTGACTGAATCCAAACTTCACAGAACAAACCCCCTTAACAAAAGGATTTGTTGGGGCAGCTAGGTGGTGCAGTGGATAGTTATCCACCCTGAAGTCAGGAGGACCTGAGTTTATATCTGGCCTCAGACCAAACACTTGACACTTACTAGATGTGTGACCCTGGGCAAGTCACTTAACCCCAATTGCCCAAAAAAAAAAAAGGATTTGTTCTTTTGGTCCACATCCTCAGAGGTGGAAAGATGAGCATGGATGATAATAACAGTAATAGCCAACATTTATAAAACACTTACTGTGTTCCAGGCAGCCCTGGGAGATAGATGCTATTATTATCCCCATCCTACAGATAAGGAAACTCAGGCAAATACAGGTTAAGTAACTTGCTCAGAGTCACACAGCTACTAAATATCGGAGTCTGAATTTGAACTCAGATCTTCCTAACTCCAGGCCCAGCCCTCTATCCACTATGCCACCTAAACAGAGTTTTGACTTCTCCTTTCCTGGAGATTTTCTTGGGTGTAGTACAATTGGCAAGTGTAGGGTTTTTATAGTTCTTCATCTCTGTAGGTATACAGAAACATTTATTGCACATGCTTTAAAAAAAAAAATAGAAGGTAGAAATAGCTCTGACAAAGCAAAAACAACATCAACAGCAAATTCTCCTACTCACCGATGCCCAGTAATTGAAATGAATAACAGCATGTCAGAGTGGGAAAGGATCTTAGATATATCCTTGAGTTCAGTCCTTCCCTTGTATAAAGAAACTGGCAGGCAGCCAGCGAGTATTTATCAAGTACTTCTTATGAACCAGGTGCTGTGTAACTGTGTTACAGAAGAATAACAGCTAGCATTTACATGTTTTAAGGTTTGCAGAGCGCTTTACATTTACCATTTCAGGTGATCCTCACAATAACACCCTGCAAGGTTAGCACTGTCATTATTATTATCCCCATTTTACAGATGAGGAAACTGAGACGAAAAGCAGTTAAGTGATTTGCTCAAGTTCATACAGCTAGTAAGTATCCAAGGTGGGACTTACGTACTCTAAGTACAACACTCTATATATGCCACCCTAGATAAAATGATGTAGAATGATAAATTTAGAATTAAAAAGGGTAGAGGCCAGCTAGTATAATTCCTTTGTTTTACAGATGAAGAAACTGAAGCCAGTTTGAGAGAGGCAAGAGACTTGCCCAAGGTCTCACAGGCAGTAAGAAGCAAAGCTAGGATTCAAACCCAGGTCTTCTTCCAATTCTCCAATTCATCCCCCTGCCTTTCTGAAAATCACATAATTAAGAGGTACGTCTATGACTTCAGGTTTATGGTGGCCTTAAGATGTCCATACCCACAGAAAGAATGGCATCGCGTCATTTAAAACCCAGTGTGAATCAACTGATCAGATCCTTTCTGGGGAACAGGTTGGGATCTTGAGGGCACAGAGAAAACAGAGGTGCCCAGGGCTCTGTGTGAGGGCTCATTGCTACACCAAGAAGTCTTAAAGGGACAGGGAGGAGGGCACGCAAATTTCACATTCTTTAGGGCTGGCTCCACATGCAAGTGAATACTTCCCAAACATTCTTTTTATATCATGTCACTGAATCTTAGAGCCCATAATAAATGCTCTAAGTCTAAACCAGCCATTGGAGTCCCACATGGGCCAGCTCCTCTGTGTGTGCGTGTGTGTGGGGGGGGGGGTTAGCACAAACACTCCTATAAAGCCCGGAGGAATGTCCCCCAGAATACTCTGAAACCCATGTTTCAGGCTGATGAGCCCATTTTGTTTTGTTTTGTTTTAATTTTTAATTATTTTCATTTATTTCATTAAATATTTCCCAATTACATGTAAATAAATTTTAATAATCATTTTTTTAAGTTTTGAGTTCCAAATTCTCTCCCTCCTGCCCCTCCCCCCTCCTTGTGAAGGCAAGCAATTTGATATCAATTGTACGTGTTTGGGATGAGCACTTTCTTTACTAGAATAAAAGAACTGCCATTTAAGCAATGAAACTCACAAGCAACTTAACTAATTCCCCCAGTCCCGTAAAATTTGGGAATGTAAATAGGGCGTTACTTTGTTGGTCGGTTTGTTGGTTTCAGGTTGGAGAGTGGCCAGAAATATCACCTACCACAACTGGCTTCTGAACCTTCAGGTTTCATGGAATCATCAACAATCTTCCGGATCTGTGTCAGTGTACTGTGAGTTTCCTCCAGTTCTCTCCAGATCAGATACACATCCTCTCTGACCCCAGCTCCTAAGATGGGGAATACACAGAACTGAGCAGTCTCCTGAGGCAACATAAAGCAATACCCAGTAGAGCTAATTTTGACTGAGTCCTAGTTTTACAGAACAAATCCTTTTATTAAAGGAATTTGTTCCGTGAAGTTTGGATTCAGTCAAAGGGCTGCACTTGAGGACCTAGAGGGCCACATGTGGCCTTGAGACAGCAGGTTCCCCACCCCTAGAACTTGAAGGACTTGAGTTAATAGTACTTTTATTAATAATACTTGCAGAACAAGGATCCTTTAATGTACGGAAGAGATCAACTCCTGCAAGGTTCTGGTACATTTCTTCACGTTCGGGTCTAATTTTCCTAGTATTCTCTACTGTAAATTTCATCCCTATGGGAAACCTTAGACCCCTGAAGTCCACCTAAAGAAACAATGACCATTAAAAGAAAGGAAAAATAATCATTTTTGATGGAAATATCTATGTTAATCAAAAGATTGAACCTGAAAAATACCAGAAATTGGAGTCATGGCTGTGGGAGCTGATGAGGCAAGGGAGATGTAATGTTTCTGTGATTTATCTGGATTTCTTTATTTTTTAATTTAGCTATATTTCTGCAACTATGAACTATAAAACCACCTTAACACTTCTAATTCAATTAATTTTTATTATAAAATTCATAGCTATCAACAAAGATGATCAAATAAACAGAGAAAACAAAATCTTACCCCTAAACCTAGGTTTTATAACAGATGGCAGGATGCTGTCATAAGGAATCAGGAGGGCCTTGGTTCAAATCTTGCCTCAAACATGCAATAGCTGTGTGAACTTGGTTTAATTTTTCTATGCCTTAGTTTTCTCATCTATAAACTAAGGAGCTGGACATAGTGGCCTATAAGGGACTCTTCCCATTCCAAATCTCCCATTCTGTGTGTTTCTTCTTGATTTCTCTCCAGGCCTTCTACAAGTTCTATCACCTTTGAGCCTGTTTTCCTCCCTTTCTTTTTCCTTTTTTCACAGAAACACAGAACTTTAAAACATTGGAAGGGACTTCAGAGTCTCCTAGACCAATCTATACCTGAAAGAAATTTCCAGCTATAATGGAGCTGGAAAGTGGTCATGCAGACTCTGTTTGAAGATCTCCAATAAGGGGAATGAACCCACCATCTTTCAAAGAGCAATCTGTTTTGCTTCCTAGCTCTAAACGTTAGGAAGTTTTCCCAATACCAAGCTTAAATTTGTGTCTTTGCAACTCTCACCCGGTTCCCTCCTCTCAGATTAAACCAAGCAAATCTTATTACTCTTCTACATGAAATCCTTTTAAATACTTGAGGACAGATATCATATTCCCCCTGAGTCTTTTCTTCTGTTTATTTCCTTGATATGATCATAAGCAGTGTGCTTATAGTTCTGGTTTGCTGATTTCACTCTATTAATTCTTGTTGACATGACTTGCCTTGATTTGACTCATGAGACGCAAATAGCATAGTGGACAATAAAATGGCCTCCTCCAAGCCAGGAAAACCTAGAGGTCAACTTTCCTCTGGTGCATACTGGTTCTACTCCCCTGAGCAAGTCTTTAAGTAATCTAAGAAACTCTATAATAAGATTAAGTGGAGAAGAAGGTGCTAGCCAGTATTAGCTCTCTATACCAATGACGTGGTCCTCATCAGTCTTACTTGGCTGTCCACTTTCCTTATCTCTTTCCAATTATCTCTTGTTTGTTTTTGCCAGTTCTATGATTTCAGCTTAAGAGAATTACCTGGGGCCAACAGGAGGTTAAGTGACATCCAGGATCACAGAGCCACCATATGTGAGATTTGAACGTAGGTCTTCTTGACTCCAAAGCTAGTTCTCTATTCCCTCTGCCATACTGTTTCTCATTTGTCATTTTCATGGCACCAAAAAATTCCAATATATTTTGCTGTTCAATCGTTTCAGTTGTGAATGACTTTTTGTGACCCCATTTGGGGGTTTTTAAGATACTACAGTGGTTTGTTATTTCCTTCTCCAACTCATTTTGCAGGTGAGGAAACAGAAGCAAACTGGGTTATGTGAGTTAACCCAGGATCACATAGCTAGTAAGTGTCTGAGACCATATTTTAACTCAGGAAGGTGAGTCTTCCCTCCAGTAGATTAACATACTATAATTTATCCAACTGTTCTTCAATTATTGAACAGCAAGTTGATTTCATTTTTGCTGCTATGAACAGCACAGCTATGAATATTTTGTTACAAGTAGTTCCTTTTCCCATTCTATGATTGGGGTGGGGGCGCAGGGGTTAGAATTTTCACAAAAGAATAACTGGTTCAAAAGGTATGATCACTTTTGTTATTTAATGTGTTGCTATGCCATTCTCCAAAATGACAGCATCAATCAGTAGTTCCATTAACGAAGCAATATAACGCACCTGTTTCTCCACAGTCCTACCAACATTGAATTTTATAAATTCTTTATATTGTTCCCATGCTAGTGGATGAAAGGCAGTATCATAAGGCTGTCTGAGTGCATACTGCTCAATTATTAGAGAATATAATCATTTTTGTTTGGCTTTCATAACTTGTCTTTTCATATCAATTGACTATTGTTCTACTCGGGAATGTAAATTATTATTCTTATATACCTCACTTCCCTGCAGCTTCAGAACGTTATCCCTTTAGTTGTCATCCTAACTTCCAAAAATGTTGCCAATCTGTTTCATGTTTAATTTTAGACACAATTGTTTTTGTTTTACAAAATCTGTTTCTCTTTATAAAAGCAAACCTACAAATTTTGTCTCCCTCTTGACAAGTAGCTGCCCACTGTTCCTAGAGATTTCTTTCATTTTCCTGGTCCTCGCTTACAAACCATTTCCCCTGAGCCACCTCTGCCAGGTGCTTGGCCTAAAAAGATGGTTTCCTTCAATGCCACACATAACAATCACCCCAAATTTTTTACAAAAACACTAAGGGTTTTAGCTAAGAAGAAACTTGACTGATCCCCAGATGGCATGTAATGTCATCCAATTTCTGGTCACAGACATAGTTTTCCTAGTGATGTGAGCTGCTCTCAGGTTTCCCTGGTATAGTCCTTGTCCACCACAAAATGATCCACAATTCCCCCTAAAGTTAAAACCCTATATTTTAGGGAGCCATACTAATGACCCAAGTGTAAAGAAAATATCAAACACTAAGGTACTGCTGGGAAAAATAGAACAAAATGTTTTTATTTGGAGAGAGAAAGAGAGAGAGAGAGAGAGAGAGAGAGAGAGAGAGAGAGAGAGAGAGAGAGAAGCAAAAGTAAAGGGAAAATAAAGTTTCTCCCACTTAGGGTTAGTCAAATTAAAAGAAAGGGTATTAATAGCTTCAACTCATAAAGAAGGAAGTGACAAGCCTCAGACACGAAACCTGTCCACCAAGGCTTTGCAGCTATCAATAGTTTGGGGAATGAAATCTTACATGAACCCAGCCCTATACTGAAACACTAAAAATATAAGCACTTCACTGCCAAATGTAATCCTTAAACCCACAGCTCTTTCCCATTGCTGTGACTATGAGGTTGGTTTGCTTTTGGCTGCTATAATGCCCTGGTGTTGAGTAGCAGTCTACTCTCTAAAAAAAAAAAAAAGGTTTCAAATGCTCTGAGGTTTGCTTTCTCTCATAGATTCGCTGAGTAACAGCTTAAGTAGGAGGAAGCCATAAGTAAATATGAAAAGCAAACCAACAGAAGAAATGAATTGTAAATCCCAGGGGGTAGTAGTGACAAGCTCTCTATCCAGCTCTTAGGCATTTATTGGATAGGTGTAAAATTATCCATTGGCTCCCTCAGTGTTGCCGCAGCATTTGAAAGGTCTTAGAACTTCTGCAAAACAATTGTCTGGGAAAGTCTTACCTGTTCCCTTCGCATGTTGTTATCAAGAATATACCCAATACATGCCTAAGCCACCCTCATAAAGATTTTATAGAAATGTGGAAAGCAGGTATGCACATAAAAAAACAACCAAAATAAAAAATAAGATGAATTACGGAAAGACTTATATGAAGTGTTACAAAGCTATGTTAGCAGAACCAGGACTGTATGTACATTGATTATGAGAGATGGAAAGAAGGAAGGAAGGAAGGAAGGAAGAAAGAAAGTAGGGAGAAGAGAGAAACAAAGAAAGGTAGAGAGAGAAAGAGGGAAAAAAAGCTTTGTAAATACACAGTTGGGTTGTTTTTAGCTGTGTCCAAATCTTCACAACTCCATTTTGGGTTTTCTTGGAAAGATACTGGAGTGGTTTGCCATTTCCTTCTTCAGCTCATTTTTTTGAACAGATGAGGAACTGAGGCAGATAGGAGTAAGTGACTTGCCCAGGTTTATCCAGCTAGTAAGTGTCTAAGGGAGAATTTGAACTCAGGAAGATAAGTCTTCGTGACTCTAGGACTAGTGCTCTATGCATTGTGCCACCTAGCCCAAATTGTTGTGGAAGAGAACACAAAACTAACTTTTTATTTCTTAATTTATTAACTTGATTTCAATTTCATAAAACATATGGCAAAATATTATTTGGGTCTTCTTGTTTTCTCGATTAAGCTATAAATGATTTGAATTAAGTATTTAATTTGGAAGTATACCGCCATATTTGGTTCAGCTGTTGGTTTTGTTAGGTGTAAATGTTGTACTTATAGTACAAATAATAAATTTTGCAAAATCAAAAAAACTATTGGGCCAATAGTTATTGATTAATTTGATCACCACTGTTGGGGGGGGGGTCAAAGCACTGTTCATAATCTGCAGTCTGTCACCTCCAATTTTGTCACCTCCAGCAGAGATCTCTTCTTTATATCAGTCAACAAGAATTTATTAAATGCTTACCATGTGCCAAGCACCATGTTTTGAAGTGCTGGGGATACAAAGAAAGACTCTGCCTCCAAGGTCCCTCCCTTCTAATACAAACAACTATGTATGGACAACATATACAGGATAGCATATCACTACTTCCTCACGTGGTACTTCAAATACTGCAGTGGTAAAGTCCAAACAAGCTGGTTTCACTACAGTTGCCA